TGCACTCTCGTCTAGAGAAAATCAATACCACTTCTATGCTTTTATGGTATAAAGAAACCTATATCTAGGTGTGGGTTTTCCTAGTTTGACATAAAGGCTGGACATATGGAAAAAAACTAGGCTGGCTCCGAAAAAAGAGTCTGCTTTCCAGCCCTCTGCAAAATCACAGTGTTGCATTCTTGGTCAGGTGCGTCACCTTGTAAAGCAGCAACCTGTGGGTCCAGGACTCCTGCAGATTCATAAAGAGCAGGGAAACAGTGCTAACATATGTTAATATAAAACATATAGACATAGATAGAAATAGTTGCATAATGTCACCACCTATAGGATAGTTGATAAAAACACAGTGACTGTGGAGACTAACTCCTCATTACACTTGTGTAGTTGGACTACTGTGACAGGTACTTGTTATTTGGGAGAGCATGAAAGATGCTGACACTACAAAAAAAGAAACAGCATGCAGTAAAATAACAAATTTTGAAAAACCCAAAAGCAGAAAATATGAAAATGGACCTTGGATGGTGAGATTCCCTGACCATCAGCTGCTGTGCTCCTTTTTTTTCTTTTGAGAAAAAACAGTAGCCAGATTTGTTCCTGATGAGAAACAACTTCCCTGTCTGGTTGACCTAGCCAACCTTTTCCACTGATTTAATGATTTGACAACCGAATGCATCTTGAACCTTTGACAAACTGAGGCATTAATAAGAAACCTGCATTGTAGCTCGATCATCTGGACAATAAGTTTGAGAAGTTTCCATGACTGGAGGATTTTTACAGTGATAACAATGTATCGAAAGCTGAGTTCTGGGATGTTGTCAGGATTCCGTTCTGTAGAATACACCTGCATCGTTTCACTTAAAAGCCAGGCATTCTCTAGTGCAGAACAACCATCCATGATCTACTGTAACAGTTGAGTTTACAAACTGCACCTTTAACAAGGTGTCTACTGTGTTGCCGAGTAGCAACATCAAGCAGTGCCCATGTTTTTTTGTGATGTCAAATGCACGCAGGCTGGTCGAACATATACACTTCACTCCTGTTTTCTTTTGCTCCAAAGAGAATAACAGTGATGGTCGACCAGAGGCAGCTATTTTGTTCATGTATGAGAAAGCTGTACAACTGGGCTTGGTAAGGTTGGAGTGTGTTTAATAAACGACGAGCAGTTTGTGAAATGCCAGTGTTTGTGTGGACGTGAGTTTTGTCTGCCGTTTTCCTCCACTCTCCATAGCCTCAACCGAGCCACACAGAACCAAACCATCACACTATACATCGCTTAATCCTCACTAGGGTCACGGGGGGCTGGAGTCTATCCCAGCTGACTCAGGGTGAAGACAAGGGAACACCCTGGACAGGTCATCAGCCCAGCAGTAAGCTCACCGCTACACTTAGAAACAGACAACCAAGCACACTCACATTCACACCTACAGACAATTTAGAATTATCAATTAACCCTATCATGTTTTTGAACTGTGTGAGGAAGCCGGAGAACCCGGAGAGAACCCACGTTGCACGAGGAGAACATGCAAACCCCACACAGTTTTCCTAACTGGGATGCAAACCGGGGACACTCTAGCTGCGAGGCGACGGTGCTAACCACCAAACCACCTTGCAGCCCTTGGTGCAGAACATCCATCCATCCATTTTCTATACACCGCTTAATCCTCACGAGGGTCGCGGGGGGGCTGGAGTCTAGTGGAATAGAAATTTTGCAGTGATGGAGTTGACAGGAATTAAACTGGAGGAGTCATTCATTGAAGTTACAACTGATCTGGTTCTGAGGCAGAGGTTTGTAGAGATGCCACCGAGAACAGACTGACTTCTCCCATTTGCATCATCCCAAGACTGTGCATCTGGTTTTCCAGCAATATTGTAGCTAAAAAAAACAACAAACAAAGCATTTCTGAAAATGTCACCATTGCTTTATGTAGTATCTAAATGTTATGCAGCTTTTTTCTTGCTCTGCCGGAGTTTTCTGTTGACCTTTAATAATGCCTGCGTGGGAGATCCGATATAGACCATGTTCAGGCTCTATATCTGTCCACAGAAACAGTTCGAAGGGAAATTTTCAGGTCAGCAGCTCTTTAATCTATAAGAGCGACACTCACACAACACCTATGCAAACTCATAAAGACACACATCCACGTAGAGTCTCAGCAATGACAGGATGGAGGAATGTAATAACACCTTTGGGAAATTAGCTGATGGCAGCAGTTCAGCTGCTCTTCAGCCTTTACCTGAAGGGATCGACTTACAGAGGAGCCAACCAAATATCAATAAGGGTGATTTAGCTGTGCACTGCTCAAGGATAAAGAGCTTATGCATGAAACCTCTGGAAATACACTTGAGCTTGGTGTGTAAAATGCTGTCGCTTCAAGCAAATCCCTGATTAAATCCCCCAAACACATTTAGTTGGCTATATGAGGGGAAGCCTGGTGTTGGCTGTGAGGCACGATGCCAAGTATGTGGGAGGACAGAAAGAAGAAGGGGGGGGGAGGTAGGCAAAGAAAGAAAGAACGAAAGAAAGAAAGAAAGAAAGAAAGAAAGAGAGGGGGAGGAATAGTATATATCTGAAAACCAATGTGCTGTGGATGAGCTTATTTGATGTTTCTTAATGGCTTCCCTCTGGCATTTATGATCTTCTGTATGTTACAAGAGTGACATTATCCCAGATGATTCCACCGCTCAATATGAATCTGACACTGACACACGAAATGTTTAATGCCGCCATTATATTTGTGTGAGTCTAATTGCTCAGTATTATCCTTCATAATATTTGGCAGTGCGGTTGGCTGCCCTTAAGGTGTTGAACAGGTTTAATTTTACATAAAAGCACTGGTGAGGATCAGGAAGAAATGAGTGTCTAGCAACCCAACTTTGGCTTCGTACCTTAGCTCCACAGCCAACAACACCAGGAAAGCTGGCTAAATGAAACATCGCTTCAACATCTGCAACAGCGGATGTGGATTTACAGCTTCTGTGAAGAGAACAGGACAACATTGCCTCATTTGGATCATTAATTTTTATTACCTTTCCTGGAAATCTCTTCATTTGGCATTTTACTGCCATTTTCAAATGTAATGGTTGTTTTGCGGAGATGCACATACACTTGTCAGCCCTGTGGTCACAGAAAAGAGAAAATAAAAAGCGGTAGAGTAACACAAACCTGCATGGGGTCACTGCTGCAAAAAAATCCAGGCTTATACCCAAATTGCTCGATTGCTTGAATGACATTTTCATCACTTATCATTTCCCTTCATGTCTCTGTGCACTGACTGGCACTCAGAAAACACATATATGCTCTTATATTATGCATAGAAGCATTGCAACTGGATGAAAGCGCAGCAAAGATGTGACCTCGAGCTGTTTACCCTGTAATCAGCTTACGCATCTCATTAACAGAGGCTGACTCATGTCATCTTGAATGTAAGCCTTGAAATAGGGTCACACAGCCCGGGAAACCAAAGGACAAGAAACCAAGGTAACAGTGACACGGCATGAGAATCATTAGCGCTCGTCTTCCAAAATGCAACATTTGGCTGGCTGTGTATATGAATATATGCAAATATGATTGAATTTCAGCAGTTCATGCATGATTTATGAGACTTACGGGATAGCCTACACACACAAAAAAAGACTTTGTTTCTTCAGAGAATTACGTGGCATTCTTTATTTTTCTCCTGCAGGCCTCTTAAGTCTGCAATAACCAGCAGGGAGAAAGGAGGGTTGCTTTCACAAGGACTTAGCTTAAGACTGAAACTCAAATCTTCCTCAAACAAGAAACAGAAGTTGGTCTTCAACTTGTCTGGTCACTAACATTAACATTTTTAGCGAGTTTGCACATAATTACCTCTTTTCTCAAGCTCTTTGTGTTCACCTGCAAATTTTTTTTGCCCCGCAAATCACTGTGATAACATCAAACATAACCTTTTAAAAGAATGATAGCTCACTTTGGAGAGGTAATTAGCTCTTTGAAGTAGTGACGGCTTAAGGTTTGGGAAGTAGGGCAGCTCTTTCATGTGTGATTAGATGTTCTTTAGTCTCTCCTCACGTAGTGGAAGACGGAAAAGAGAAAAGCAGACTGGTTAGGAAAAACTGATCAACCTTGAAATATCACAGGCACTTGGGCTGTGGTCGTCCAGGACCCTTCCCACACGTGTTTGAGTCAAAATGTGTTGTAAAATGTTCAAAGGTTGAGAATGCTGAAGTTCTGCAGGAGGATTGAAAGTCTCAGAGGCAGAGAGAACTGGGAGGAAAGGCAGGCAGAAGGGAAAGCCGAACAGAGAAAGCAGAGGAACGTGTATGCCGGATGTCAGCGCTGTCAGATGCAGTCAAACTGCTCACAACAATCAAACCGATACGTAGCTTTGGCTCAGATGCACGAAGCTGGGCTTACTGGCTTACCTCAGCACTGCACCAGAGAGGGACTGTCACTGGATATTACCATGTGGACCACTGAACTGATTCTCCCGCGTCATAGTGGACAGGGACAGCTTTACATCCCTACTTACTCCCACTCTGCTGCCCTGGGGACACACACGTACCCATACTTCCTGAAGTGTGTGTGTGTGTGTGTGTGCAGTTTTGCTGTTGGAAATATTCGCATTAAATATGAATAGCCTTAATAATAAATGGAAGCTCTCAGAGATTGCATCCTGGGCACAAAAAAAAAAAGCGCGATCCAGTGTTTAGACACAAAGCTTTCAACATTCTCCCTGCTCATGGCGTTTGGTGATTTGAAATCATTTGGAGCAATTTAATACCACAATAATGCTTTTGAGTGATTGCTCACTTTGCTTTAAGTGCATTTCTTGTCCCTTCTGTTTGCCATGTGGAAATATAATACAAGATTTGATCTATTTCTACAGTATAAGAAAAAATGTTGCAGACTTACATTGTGAATGTAGCCTATGAATACAGTTTCATGCTACAGTATGTTAGAGAATGTGCGTGAATGGCATTAATCCTCAGTTAAACACATTTTTCATATGCAGAGCAGCAGCTTAAGTTAAAGTTTCCTCCATTTCTTCGTCTATGGACAAGTGTGTAGAGGAATGGCTGGGACTGGATCTAGTTTTCAGGCTGATTGAGCCATACAGTTTGGCTGACCGCTTGGAATAGGCGATGACCTTTCTCCTGTACATCTCTCCCTTCCACATGGAGATCATCAGCAGCGTGGAGAGCACCACGCCGCCCAGCGTGAGCAGGCAGAGTCCCGCTATGACGCACCGATCCAGGTGGGCCCCTATCCGGGCGCTCTCCATCTCCAGCCTCTCCATCTCCCTCGCCGACACGCTGTCACGGTCCACCACCACATCCCGGGGCACGGCGTAGGAGATGATCACCAAGGAGATCCCGGTCACCAGGAACGTGACTGCACTGATAAACCCGTAGTCTATAGAATTCCCAGAGCCGTCCCCGAAGGAGAGATCATCCTCTGACATGAAGGAAAACTCCGGTAAAGTCTCGGAGCAAGCCTCGCCGTTGCGCATAGGTCTGTGAGTACTTTTACAACTGGTCTCCGGGCTGGCCAGTCGCAGGTTAACGTTTTCATCAATGTAGGTGAAAGATGTCTCTAATTCCTCGTCACAACAAACTCTGACTTTCTCCTCAGTGAGGTGGCCGAGTTTAACCTCCGCGCCCGCCTTGCGCGGCGCCGTCCTTGGTGCTGAAAGACACCGGCCATGGCAGCTGCGGACCGGGTTACAGACGCCCTCCCCCTGGAGCGCGCCTCCTGTTGATCCACCCGACTTGCGGGCATGCAGCGCGGTGGAAACCCGGTCAAGGACGTCGGGAATATTGGGCTCTTTGTCTCCGTCATCTGCGGGGAGCAACTCCGGAGAAGCCATTCGTGTATCACCACCCGCTGGTTCACTCTGAGCCGTCCTCCCACGATGTTTTCACTCCACAGCATCCCTGATAAGAGGACACACACCAGCTCCAAGTTAAATGGTGCATCCTAATTAGATTATCCTCAGTGCAAAGCGTGAAACATTATTTTACGCGAATGCGTAAAAAAAACTTTTGCGTAAATTTCACCAGTGCGCAAAATGCACATGCAGTGGGATACCTATATGGTAACACTTTGAAGTTGATTAGACGTATTTAGAGAAATCCGTGGGGCCGTCTTGAAAGGCGCTTATATAGATCTGTGATTAGCCAAATGCCTCCGTATCCAATTAAGAAAACAATTCACGTAGAAACCGAGATTAAGCTTAAGCCTATTTTAGTTCTGCTTTAAAACTGGGCACTGCGTTGTGAATCGATACATTTGTAAAACTGGGCTAAAACTAATGCTCACATAGCAAATATGTTCATAAACAGAGATAGCCATAGTAAGCCTTTCCGAGAAAAGCCTCATCAGCCTTCAATAAAAGAATGACTTCCTAATGTGTGTCGGAATAGCTGCACACTTTATCTGAATTCAGCAGGAGATGTGAGATGCTCCTCTGCATTAGGGTGGACCAGCCGTGCACAATCCGGTTTTATTTTTTTTCTAATCCCTGACCAAAAAAAAAAAAAAAAAAGCCCTCCTCAGATTCTACAAATATAAAGACATAAACTCACCGCGCTACTTCAGCATCCCTTCCGACTTCTCTTCTTCCGAGACACTAGAGCTGGTGAGACGACACGGCGGGGACAGATAAAAAGCCATATCGGTGAAAATGTTTTGAATGGATCCAGCCTGTGCTCGGTGCTGTGGCGGCAGGCTGCACTGAGGGGAGCTCTCCTTTAGTCCCTCCCACACACTGAGCCTCTGCTGCCCGCGCCGTGGCGCTGAAAGGAGCGCCGCTATCTGGGAGCCGATTGAGATCACTGCGAAGTCAGTCAACACAGACGGGATGGGGGGGTTTGGAGGGCTGTGGGGAACCTTGAGAACTGATGATCATATTTTTTGCTTTACTGGCAATGCCTCCCCCGCAGGAAGCACTTGAGCAGAATCCGATGCCACTGAAATGTCAGTAAAAGCCATAAAGCTCCGGTGGGGGCTAAGGACAGGTTAGTGGGTCACACAGGACATAAAATACCATTAAGAAATGAAGACACACTCTGCAGAAGCTCAAGTGCTATAATGAGTCATAAGGTTACTATGAAGTCAATCCTGAATACCACAGATTGCTGAAATTCATGCAGAGGATGTTACTATCAGAATGCACAGTTAAGTAATATAGGTTCAGCATTAAACACCCAAGTCACCATAAATGCTCTCTGGGGCTATATTGCGTTCTAGATCAAATAAAGTAGACATGTAGCGTGAGACTGTTTCCACATAATCTGCACGATTGAATATCATAGACATGCAGGCAGTAATCTGTAGTGTATGTTGTCAGTTAATGTCCTCATCATATCAGAAAAAAGCTATCCAGCATTGTTATACAAACACCATTGTTAAACTGCATGTATCATGCACCATCTGCTCCCCTCCACTCTCCCTGAAGATTACTGGTTACTATGTCAAAGCCATCCTAATCCATGTTTAATCTAGAGATCTAATAGGTCATCGGCTCTGCGACCCCACGTAAATTCATGTTTTCAGAGTCCTGGTGTTGGTCGCGTCTTCCGACACACATGGCAAACAATTAGCACTGTAAACAACTCATTTTCTTCCTGGAAAGTGACACTTTGTAAACTGGATGCTAAATACAGGCTACCGTCAACCATTTAGGAGTTTAATCCCGCTTTAAACTGAATATTAATTTGCTGACTGTTCCACATAATTTGGCACAAGCAGGCAGCAGCTATAAATATAGTTGCCACTTTTTCCTGGAGTCCTCGTGGCTGAGTGAACAGCTTTGGCTCATTTCCCAACAAGACTCCATTTAACAGATGAGTAAAGAGAGAGGGAGAGTAGTCGGAGCAAGGAGGAAAGAAAGGCAGTGAGAGACGGACAAAGATTTACGCCGCCGTTTTTGTTCCAGAAATTCAGTTTGCAGAGAGACAGGAGGCACAGATATTCCTGGGTCACTGGCTGATGGATAATGATGGTTTATGGTGTGCTGGGTCAGATTGTAGCCAACTTTAGCCCATCCCATGCAGAGTGACGGAGAGGGGGAGCTGAAATCTGACTGTGTGCTCGTCTGAGAGGTAACAACAGCCAACTATCAGATGCTATCTGTCTGCAACAGTGCACCACTTTTCCTGCTGGCAAGGACACCAGGCCTGGAAGAGGAGGGGCAGCTGGGGAGTCAGTGCTTCTAAAGGCTATATATCCTCATAGAGTCTCCCCTGCCACAGGCCTGTACCCACACACACACAGAATAAAGACTATGAAACATGGATGTAGGCCTGATTTTTCTTTGGCCAGCAGTGGGTATCATAAGGTGATGGAAAGGGGAATTAGAGGTCCTTCCAAGTGCAGCAGCAGCAGGGGAAGAAGAGCAAGGCAGTGCATATGTAGGAGTGTGAATTATAAACTGAATTAATGAATGAGGGAGTGAGTTCACCTCACCTCCAGCTGCTCCGGGAGCTGCTCAAGCTGGACAGTAGCTGACTGTATAGCAAAATAGGTGAATATGAGTTAGAACTGTATGAAATCTCAAATAGGCTACTGTAGAGGAATGAAGCCCCGAGGCCTTTTGCACCAGCTCTTTGTAAATTTATTCTTACAAATGCATGCATCATGAAATGAAAATAGTTTGCACCAGCCAAGTTCTTACTTATGAATTAGTTGTTAGGGGAGGTTGTAAGGTGCTGCAGCTTTCATATCATCGGTGTTGCACATAGTCCAGGTCAATATCCAAGTCACAAATGTTTCATCCAGGTGTCATTATGAATAACTGTCAAAAGAAAATCTCAGATCAGCCTCCAAGGTATAACATGAAATCAGGAATATTGACAGTTTTTTTTTACATCTATGGGATGTCCCACTTATTTTTAAGAGCTACAGAAATGCCAGCAAGCAATTTTCAAAACAAAATGACTGCAAAGCCTCAACTGCTGGCTGTTAGATCTGAATAAAATTCAGCGATAACACTGATACACTTGATTCAGCTAATTTAAAAAAGGAGCGACACACAGTTTGGTGGTATCTGATTTAATAATTCCTAAATGCACACCACTGCAAAGCAGCTCCTCCAGGCTACTTGAACATCATCACTGTGAGTGGGGTAATAATGTGTGAGCACTCCCAGGTCTGAGTAAAGACATTTTATGTTTTTCCTGCAACATGATGGGGAAAAAAATGCATTTTAAAAAAATTTACATAATTAAATGAAAGTGTTTGAAAACAAAAATAGATCTGTCACCTCCAGCAGAGTAAATAATGAACCTAGTGTAGTATCATTAGGGCAAAGTATTTTTAATCCTCACACAGCTATCTTTAATATCACAGCCGTCATGGGTTGTTCAAGTCAAAAATGGTCAAACATGTGGAATAGTTTCCAGCATTCCATCCATCCTACAAGACATTAATGCTCCATAAATCAACCCACTGGCAAGGATACCATGAGCAAGCCAATAGATAACCATTTACGCTGAGATGTAAAAAGGGTTCGTATGAAATATAGTTGATAAATGTGACCTATATAGCGTCTGTACAGATGGAATATTCGTCACTTCTTCCCCCCTCTGTGTAAATATTGTTAAAATGTCTGCTATGGTTGTGAAGTCATTTGCAACCAGAATCTGAGCAGTACTGACTGAGTGGTGGAGATGTGGTACTCCTGGCCGGGCAAAAATGTAAGCATATTAGAGACTGTATATAAAAGATGGACATTGAATTTGGGTCTGAGAAGTGAAGCATATGTGGAAGTGTCTTGAACATACGTTCTTTCTGCAGAAGTCCATACAGAATTTTATGAAAAAAGGACATTACTCCCTTGTCCCTTAGTATACACCAACCATCTCCTCCCTGCAGTTCATGCAGCCTTCGCTTCCCCTTCCACTGTCTGCATGTGGCCATTTACTAAATCCTCTCTGCTATGAGAAACACCAACCTTCGTGACAGCAACCTACATGCTAAAAATGTAAGTGTTGCTTAAGGAGTCAGCCCTGCCGGTCCTGCTTGTGTGTGTGTGTGAAGTAGCTGGTTAAATGACCGTGCAACGCTTCAGTGCATGCAAATGTTCCACCAAAACAATTCCCCTAGTCATTGTTTTACAGGGGCACCATTGCTGCATCCTGGGCTTCGCACTGCCCATGAGGATTCTGACTTGTTTAAAGAAATACCAATGAGCCAATGAGGCGCAGCCAGACCCGGCTTGTACTGTCAGGCACCATAACTGAAAAAAAACATTGCATGAACATATCCAGACAACCAGACCCCTCTTAAAAACAATCACGGCACCTCCTTGAAGTGATGTCATTGCGAGTTAACACATATCCTGAATTAGCTTTCAGAGTTAAGTAACATCCATCCATTATCTATATACCGATT